GCATTAGATTATCCTGGATCTGTCTCCTGTGGTGCATGGGGAGGGGTTCCTTTTACCTTTTTCAGAACTTCAGTATAGAAGTTACATATATACATATGGTGTAGGACTAAATAGCTCAAATGTCTGATCAAGTATAATAGTTCATCTCTTCCTGTACAAGGAGTCCCATTCCCGTGCAGCACTGGGTCACAAAAAAGATATTTTTCTGTGTATATTTGTCAGCTTTCATAGTGGCTGTATGTGTGTTTTAACTTCACTCCAGTGAACACTGGATAGCATGTTGGTTTTTTGTTTGTTTTGTTATAAAATTCATGTGGAGTTGAGTCAGTATTTTAAAGATAAAGACAGAATGCTTCATGAAGCCTATTCTAATTCTAAAGTACAGTTTCTAATTTGCTCTTTGATTATGGGTGGGGTGGGAAATGAGGAAAATGTAGCTAAGACTTATTTTAAGTGATGTAGTTTGACCATCTGCATCTTAATACTTGATGCTTTCCCATATGAGGTTTGGTTGTCTGCTGTTTCTAACTGTGCTAAGCTTAAAGCTGTATTTTTTCATCCAGATGTTTCTCAGATAAAGGTTTTTTGGTTTGGTGTTTTTTTTTTTTTGTTTTTTTTTTTTAGAAAATTAAGTGACTCACTTTGCGGGGGAGAAATGGCTTGGGTTTGTCTTGTCAAGCAGCTTTTCAGAAATGAGGTTCTTTCATGCCTCCAGTTGTCTGGGCAAGAATTTGAAACTTGGACATGTAGCATACTGTCAGGGATGCCAATATGATGCATTTGACTGTCTCATAAAAGTGTGCACAGATTTAAGTGCCTCTGTTCCTTGAGTCTGATCTAGCAATTGCATTGTAACAAGTGAAGTTTGTTGCTAACATAATTCAGTGAAAGTGAGGAGTGAATAGGAGCTTCCTCACACCTTCTTCATCGGCAACCTGAAATTAAACTGTGAAGCTGCTCTGAGGAAACACCATGGCTTCAATGAGAAGTGGGGAACAGAAGTAATATGGGGAAGGTATGTACATGAAAAAAAATGGAGAACTCTCCTTGGGCCTGTGAGATTAGAAGGAAAAATGAGAAAAGAAAATAGGAGACTTGGTAGGATAGCAAGGGAGGTTTGAGGAGAGCTAGGAGAGAGTAATTTTGGTGGGGAGGAGGAACAGAGGAGGGTGAAAGTGGAACATGAACAGATGCCAGGGCAGTAAGGAAGGTATTTGGAGGTGAAGAAGTGAGAGAACTGTGAGGGACAGTCATGTTTCCCATGTAGATATGTACGTAATTGAAACTGTTATTCCTGAGTCTCTCAATATTTCTTTTTAAAATGTAAATAAACTGAAAAATGCTGATAAAAATGTCTCCCATCATCTCCAGTAGAGGACCATATTAATTATAAACAGTCATCTTCTGTCCTATTTGAATATGCAGTTGAGGGTGCCACTTCTTTGTGGAGCAATTAGGTTTCCAGTGAGACATGCAATACAAGTGCTAGAAATTATGTTGGAGGCATATGAACCAACAAATATCTGCATTAAAATGAAGTTAAAGAGAGAAATAGGATAAAATCCAGTACAGTGTATTGCAATGTGGATTATACTAGAATAATGTAATAGCTTTTTGAGAGCATTTTCAGTTAAATAAAATGTAATGGCTCTCATCTGTCTGGACTTGAGTAAAGCACTTGATTCAGTGCCTTATGAGAAAATATTACAGAGGATGGAGGTTTAGAAAGGGATTGAGGATGGGTAAGAAATTGGCTATAGGAAAGGAGACAGTAGGTAATATTGCAAGAACAGTATTTGGGTTATCTATAGTTAATCTTGTTTAATATTTTCAGTAATGCTTATGATTTGAGAAGTAGAGCTATGATGAGACACAGTTGGAAGGTGTTGCCTGTAAGAGAGAGGATTGAGACTGTATCTAAAAATGATTGAAATAATAGACATGAGAACAACTATGACAGTATAGAAATCAAGGTACCAGACTTAGGTCACAACTGTGGCTTTTAGTATTAGACTAGGATTTGAAAATTCCCAAAGGAAAGAAGGACTTGGGCTTCTTGATCGTAGAATGGCAATGAGCAACCAAAACAGGCTGGATCACAAAAAAGCAAATGCAGTCTAGGATAGGTCAGGACGAGTATGAAATGGACCAAGTGTTATTGCCTTTGTAAAGGCAGTAGCAAAATGTTTTGATGATCATATAAGATCTTGGTTGTCCATATTCAGGAAAGATTCAAACTGCGAGAGTTACAAAGAGACTGTGATGGTTCTGAAAAACCAGTCTTAGGAGACTGAGTCTCGCTTATTGTTTACAGCAAAATAAAGCCTGAAAGAAGGTTAGGTGGCTGTTTATTAAAGTAGGGAAAAGCAGCACTGGAGAGTTAGGGAAACGATTTAAGTGTAAGGGCTGAAAGAAGGTTAGGTGGCTGTTTATTAAAGTAGGGAAAAGCAGCACTGGAGAGTTAGGGAAACGATTTAAGTGTAAGGGCGTTATTGTCAGAGGAGTGAATTAGTGCAAAGGGGTCATAAATAAAATCAATCTGGAAATTGAATAATACTGTAATTTAGTATTGGAGGAGTGAGGTTCTGGAAGATCCTCTGAAGCAGTACGATGGAAACAAAATACCTGCTTCTGAAAGGCGATTTACGTTCCTGTATTACATGGCTCTGTGATAGCAAGGCTGCATGTGATAAACCCGGCATATTATCATCTTCTGTGGTCCTAGTTCACAAGATGAAGTCTGTTCTTCTGCGGGACCTACATACTTGCATAACTCTGGAGTCTATGCGTCCTATCAAATTGGCTTGTATCCAAGTACTTAAAATCAGTGGAGGGGAATTAAGTTTAACATTCTTGGCAGGAGACCAATCAGTGAAATAATGTAGCTTTTCACTCCTTTAATTTTAGATGTGGTGTGGTTTTTTTGTAGTGTGTATGATGGCATGATACTTGCTGAAAAATCAAGAAACTTTTCTGGAAGTTTTTTTTCTTGTCCTTCATTTTGCTGATCAGCTCATATGGTACCCCATACTGGTACAAAAAAAAAAAGTCTGCCCCCTGACAGCAAAAATGGCATTGTAATGTGAAATGAACTTTTTTTTTTTTTTTAAATTTTTTAGAGTGGCCAGCCTTTGTAAACTACTTTAACTTAATGTAACATCTGTATTCCTAATGTGTTCATGTGCTTAGAAAATAATTTAATATGGTGTTTAATAGCTGTATTATGAATCATATTTTTATGTCTGTTTTACAGCCTATTCGACACTTGAAATATTCATCCTTTAAGAAATCCTTGCTGGGCAGTGTTTCTGACAGTGGAAATGTAACTCTGTGGGATGTAAATAGCCAGAACCCGTATCATAATTTTGAAAATACTCATAAAGCACCAGCTTCAGAAATCTGCTTTTCTCCAGTCAATAAGCTGCTGCTTGTAACTGTAGGTTTGGACAAAAGAATTATTCTCTATGACACTTCAAGTAAAAAGTGAGTATATTAAAGACCTTTTGATTTTAGAAGGATCCTTACTTGGTTTTTATAAACTGAAAAAGCACGCTTAACTATGACATGAAATATTTAATTCAGACTACATTCAGAATGGTTGAGGTGGTTGGTGTATCACTATTGGAGAACCTGTCCCCTAGACCTTTTTGCTTTTCTATTTAAAAACCAAACAAACAAAACCCCCCAAACAATCAAAAAAACCAAGGCATGTGGGAATTAATCGAGGTGCTATATGTAAGTGACCTCTCCCAAGAGCTTGCATATGGGCTTTTCTTGTTGATACAGAGCAATTAGCTTCTGTGAGGGGCAGTACAGCCTGTGAGGACCTGCAGCCTGCTTTTCTAGTTCAAGATACAAGACATAGCTGTGGTAAGGTGCACAAAGCTGCTGAGATAGTGAGCCTTAAATATGGGACGGTATTGGTTGAAAAAGCAGGAATTATGGGGCATAGGTGATGGGGCTGTGTAGTAAGAGGGTAGGATGGCAAGTGGTGTCATGTGGGTTGTGCTCTAGCTGAATAAAAGCAGGAGTCTGGCTCTAGTTTGGAGGGGGTGTAGTAGAAGGATGCAAACTAGGACCTGAAGTTCTTCCCAGAGTTGTGGGAAGGTTAGAGTTGATAGGCTTGGGAAGCTAGAGGATGTATGTAGTATGATTGCTGCTGGAAATGATACCAGTAAATAACGTTGGTGTCAGAACTGCTGTTACGAAGGCAATTTGATCTTGTCCTGGTGGAATCTTTTGGGGCATATGCAGTCTTTAATTTGTTAAGCATGAGCACTTAGTATAAGCCTAATCCACTGTTCCATAAGATATTTCACTGAATTTACTTGGCACTGGAGAAGTGGAACGACTGACCTGTAGCTGAATTATGAAAGCTTTTATATTTTTTTTAGGTACTCTGTTTTGAAAAGTCTAACTTTCTCTAAAAGCTTCTTTATCCTGTCCTTTCTCCTACTGAAGATTACTGACAACAATAGTAGCTGATTTTCCTCTGACAACAGTAGACTTCATGCCTGATGGTACTACTTTGGCTGTAGGATGTTCCCGGGGAAAAATCTGCCAGTATGACTTAAGACAACTGACATCACCAGTGAAAACAGTTATTGCTCACAAAGGCTGTGTGAAATGCATACGTGTTCAGTTCAGTAGCACTTTTTCAAAGGTAAAAAAAACTTCCTTTTTATTGCTCAATATGTGGATTAATGAAAGCAAAGCATAAATTTAAGTTCTAAAAAACAAAATTAGCATTAAATTTCTAAGCATTATAGATGCCAACAAAAGTGGTTCATACCAACATAGAAATCATAAACTGCTCAGTCTTAAATGCCATTTTAGAGGGTTTTAATGTGGAATACCCCCCACCCCTAGCCTCAATGTAGAAATGAGTGAAACTTTAGGCTTAAATTTCCTGGTGTGAATATGCTGCCATTGCAGATCAGTTTGTGGCACCTTAGATTGATTTGTAGGCAGTAGCAGAAAGATCTGCAATGGCCCTTCCACTTAAGGGGAAGAGACACAGCTGCCTGTCTTGAGGTATTTTGCATGGTCTTATATATGGTCTTTTGCAGGCACATATAAACAGTGAAGAAGTTGATTAAATAATAGAGAAGGCTTAAGAGGTTCTTCCAAGACTTAATTAGGCTCTACTCTATCCAGAAACTGCATGTGTGCATTCAGTGGAGATGGAGAGAACCTTTGAAGTGGATTCTTTACTGCTCTGAGACTTTCCTCTTCTTCCAGCACACTTGCTGCTAGTGGTTGACTATTCCTTTACAATTTGGAGTCCCTAGTAATGTAATATCTTATTTTTCCTATGCCTAAGCCTAGGATCAAAATTGGCTCGTGCCAGGTCACTCCATTGTTACCATATGTTCTGTTGCTGTTTTTTGCAGGTCCACACAATATTCATGTAATAATACAGATGTTTCCCATGTTCTTTGAAGTTACGTTAAGATACTTTTTTTATATTTGTAAAGGTATATCTCCTAGGCAACCTTTGCAACTTGAACTGAATTTTTTTAGTATTTTGAAACAGAAGGAATATTAGCTTGTATTTTACTTTTAGCTGAAGGAATAATAACTTCTCTTAATTTGATCTGTTTTTTTCTTCAGTCTAATGTTATGGGTTCTTCAAATAAACCTGTATGCAAAAGAGTAGAAGTCAAAGCTGGTAGTAATCTTGGAGGAATTCAAAATATTGGCATCAAAAATGTTGCCTCTCAAGCATCAGCAACAGTTTCGTCTCATCTGACATTGCCAAATGAGAATAAGGGAGGAGAGGTTCCTCAGGAGAAAACAGGTAGCGTCTTCTTCCTACTTTTATACCCATTTGGCATAATGTAGAAGATGGAAGAAATATTTCATGCCTTGACCATTACAGTATAAAAACTTCACCGAGGGAAGGGCATTTGTTTGAAAGAACCGTGCGTACGTGCTTGCACATCTGCACCTTCTTATCCCTTCCCTACTATATTAGACATACTGTGAGACTGTGGGAAGTGAATTGGGTCCTATTACAAACTTTAGACACGTGAAGTCTAAAATTGTGGTCTTGAAGCAAAAGCATGTATTTAAACTTTAAAGGAGAAAACTCCATGGTGATATTGTGGGGCTGTCGTCTGCATTCTGACTTGTAGATTATCCTTATGTACATAATGTATTTTCTGACACAATGTACGGAATGCAGAGCTAATGGTTTGTAATTCTATTAATAAACAGGAGTAACAGACGTCATCTAAAAAACCCAACCAACCAAACAAAACACAGGGGGGAAAAAAAACCAAACCTAGTCCAAAAACCCAAGTGAGAACTGAACTGTATTTTTGTATGAGGCATGATTCCAATATCACATGGTAGGAAAGATGTTAAATATAGTTGAAGTATGATTAGTTGTATAACTGTACTTGCTATTTATGCTTCTGAAATTAACAAGTTCTTTATAAGAATTCTGAGCATTATTCTAAAATTCTGCCACTGTGTGAAATGTACTCTTAAAATTTTATTTAATTCAAGAGTTCTGAAAATATGGTCAAATCAGTAACACCGTTAGTTTGATTCTTGAAAAAATCCTCAGTCCATTTTAATGCAACAGCACTTTTTCCCTCCCGTTTTAAATAAGAAGAAATACGTCTAGCAACAGTAATTAGGCAATAAGCCACTACAGTCCATAGAGATGTGTTTTAATGACCTCCCTTGGGTATGCAGTGAAGTACAAGGTGAAGTAGAATGCTTCCTATGTATGCAAGAAGTGTTGCTAATCAGCATTACTGAATGGTGTGGAAATTTTATTTCAGTTAAAATGTATGATTTATTATCTTTATTTGAAGATGTAATGGCTGTTACCCCTTAAATAGGACCATGCATAATAAGTAAATGTTTTAAGAAAATAAAGGCTTACCAAGTAAACCAAATATTTTTCATTAAACTGAATGTTCACTTTAGAAGTAAAGACCTCTGTATGCTTCAGAAGATACGGTCTTTAAACTTAAAAATGGGAATGGATGAGAGACCACAAACTGCATTTGTTCTGTGGAAATTCTTCTAGACCCTGATATTAGGGGGTTTAACTTTGGAGGAATAAGGGGCCTTCACTAAAGTGATCTGATAGCTTATTTAAAACAAAAAACCATCTGTTCATACAGCTTATAAATGGACTGGGGCTTTTTGTCACAGGTATTTTGAAGTACAAAAGTATAAATGAAGTCAGAATGCGATGAGAAGTTTGGATATACTTTGAGCTGGCTTCCCATAAACTCCTATTTAACAGCCGACCTCTGGTTTAGGTACTTACTACATTTAGATTACTGGGAATGGGTAAAAATATACAAAACATGTTTTGCCCTATTTTATATTATACTTTTTCCATGTAGATCCTCTGTAGATTCTGGCACAGGTTGATACTGCACTTCTAGTTTGACTCAGTTCGCCAAGTACTTACTTAACTAGTAAGTGCAATCCTATGTATGTGTCACAACTGACACATCCGAAGGAGTGGAAAATGTGCTATATTAATACATTTAAAAGTGAAATCTTAAACCTGACTCAAGTCCCAGTTTATTTAAATACTTTGACATAATTAATTGTAGTCATCCAGTCACATTTGGATCACTTGAACAAGTAATCCCACATAGAGAAGTAGTTACAGGTTTTATGAACAGTGGTTTGTTTAATTTTTTAATTAAAGTAGGTACAAAGTAAAGCTTTTGTATGTGCAAGTGACTTATTTATAGGAGATTTATTTATGGATTGCACAGCACTAACGCTCTTTGCCTAGATCTTAACTTATACAAGCAAAATTTAGGCACTTTTAGAGTTAGGAGTTCAGTGAGGGCAGAATAGCGGCTTGCTTACAGTGCTAATCTGGTTTACAAACATACTAAATTGTGAAAGTTATTCAGGTGGTTATCTTAGCAGCTCAATTCACTTCTCCATGTATTCCTCATCTAAAAACTGTAGTTTGAATACTGGGGTTTTTTTGGATTTAAGATATGCTTCCATTCTTCAGACAACTGTCCCTGCTACCATGTGTACAAAAGCTAACTTTTCTTCCCCGGATTGGGTCAGGGATGGGGCTTGAGGGTGGAGTGGGGAAAGGTCTAGGAACAAGTTTCTTTTGTCTGCAACTGTAACCCCACTCTGATTTCCTAATATTAGAAATAAGTAGAGAATATCCTAACATCAGGTAAGCTTCAAAAGAGACGTTTCATAGAATTTCCCTTAGAATGCTTAATGGCCCCAGTGAAGCAGATTTCTCATCATAAATTTAAATTTTGATCATCTGAATGTGATCACCTTCTTAGCGGAAGGTGCATTCACTAGTTTTCATTTCATCTGATACACCATAAATTTGCTGCATCCATCACGTAGATTTATCTGAAAATGAGTGCATGCTCCAGTTTGATAACTCTCCTTTTCAAAAAGAGGAAAGGAATCCGACTATATCTTGTTTTTGTTAATAAGTATCTTAGCTTTTAGTTGTATTCACCTGCAATGACAGCCCAAATGTAGAAGTTAAAGTTGACCCTCTAACTGGAATCCGTAGAAGGTTCTAAAGTGCTTGCTGGACTTACCAGGCATCATGCTTGCTGTGAGATTGTTTAGGGATAACATATGTTATTTTTGGAAAACGTCAATTACTAACTGAGTGTTACTGTCCTTTTAAGGCTTTCCCCATAGTTGCAGCTTGGATGTGATTCCATCTAAAGAAACAGATTACGGGAGAAGTGCTGATTTAAATAATTTTGATGATTTCGGTCGAAGTAGTTTAGGAGATGTGTTTTCTCCAGTCAGAGATGGTAAGTTGCTAATACTGAAATTTGCAAAGCATCATTCACCTGCATATAGCATGACATTTTGACATTCGTGTGTTACTGACTGCTGTACTTACTTGGTATTTTAATTTGTCTTTGATTATGAACTTGATGCAATGATATGAATATTGATGTGGGTTTCATTTAATAAACACTTAATTTGTCTATGTTTTGGTACTTTGTAGATATTATTGCAAGTAAAGCGAATGAAGAACCTCAAGGAAAAGGAGATGGTAAACATACTTTCAGTATATTTTTCTTTGTCAGTGGTAAGCCTGTGGAGGCCTATGCTAGTTCTTACATGCTAATTTTGTTGTATCATTGAAAATAAACAAATGATGAAAGGAGACAGTGAAACGAATGAACTTTTCTGGAAACTGTCTAACACACTGAGGGTACTACGACACAACATGGTAACAGGAAATCCAAGAGTATGGTCCTAAAGTGATTTTGTTTTTCCTTTATGCAATTTATAGTGATATATGGACGCTTTTCATGCTTTATTACTTTCATAAGGACAGTGACGGTATAAGTCAGATTTAGGGATTTAGTTTTTGTGGGGTGCGTTTTTGGGTGATTTTTTTTGTTTATTTGTTTTGTGTGGGTGTGCAGGCATTTTACTTGTGGGTTTGATTTGGTGTGTGGGTTTGGTTTTTGACCTGCGTGTTTCACCCTTCGCTTCTGCTTTTTAGGTCTGGATTTTCAGTCCTACCTTTTGGGTTTGGATTTTCTCCCACAGCTCACCACTGCCTTACCAGTAAAAAGAAACACAGTGAGCAGTAGTGTACAAGGGATACGGTCTAGCCCATTACATGCACTTGTGGGATCTCCGATTAAAGAAGAGGAAGAACATCCAGAGACTGACACTAAGAAAATAAATCTTGGAAAACAAGAATCTAAAGAAGTCTTACAGCAGGTATACTATACTAATTATTGTTATGCATGGTCTTTTTAGAATCTTGACAGAATACTACTACTTGAAAGAAAGATCCTTAATACCATCCCAGCTAATCTTATTTTGCAACTCTATTCTCACGATTGACACAAATCTGTAAAATGTTGTTCAGTTTAAGTGCATTGGCCTTCAGACAATGCAAGATAAATGTATGTTTCTCTTTAAATAAGCTCAGGTTACAAAAGTTCATGCGAAACAAAACTGGGCTATCCTGAGGAATATTTTGATTTTTCTAGAAAATCAAGAATGATCATTAGTTGGTTGCACCAGTATGATTGATTGTCGTTTATTAGGTCTTCTTCCTTCTTGAGCTATCTTTGATACGCTTCTGCTGAAACCTGGCTCCTTTTGTCTTGCTTTTGAGAAGTCTGAGTTTGGTAGGAATGATGTTTATAACGTTGCCACGAAATGTGAAAATTAAGAGGCCCCTGTCTCTTGAACTCCTTTCTGTGTGTGTGCACTTGAGGCAATTTTGAATATTTTAGCAATCAATTTTTAAGATGTCTTGCTAGAAAATGAAAAGCATATATTTGTGAGTAGATTCCTAAAACCAAAAATGTTTGAAAGTGCATTCCTGAAAACTTAGTCTTCAGTTAGATAATTGTAATAAGTAGAGTTCATCTTATTTTTTTTTTAATTATTATTTTTATTGTCAGCTTTCAAAATCGAGCTCATCAAGCACAGAATCTGTAACTTTAAGTCCTCCACCATCATCCACTGCTGTAAAGGCTCCTGATACAAATGAGAGACTAGTGAAGAATATTCAGGCCCATCCTGCATATGATCTACCAGTAAATGGTACTACCTCAATAAGTAAGTTGATCATTTTGGCCCAGTTTTAGGCATGGTTGATTGCAAACTGATGTAAAACCTGATAAAATGGCCTTAGCATTAAAACAGAACATCCAATCTTGATTTTTCTGTAAATCCAATTAGCCTTCCTTGCACATCTCTAGTTGCCTCTGAAAAGACACTTTCTAAATCTGACTTTTTTTTTTTTACTAGGTAATATTTGAGATAAAATATTGACAAGCCTCAAGACAAATAAAAAGACCTCTTGTACTCCATTATGCTGATTTTTAAAAAATTTTTATTA